CAATATATATATTGTTGCGTCAGCGAGTCACGTGACCACTGTGGCGCCCTCTAGTTTCTAGAACTATCTTGTTCTTTCGGGAATGCTCTAGTAATTGCTCGATGTAGGGTGGGCTGGTATATATAAAGGAGGGGAATGTGAGGAGAGGTAATGTGTGTATAGATAGTGAGTAATTGAACTGCAGTCGGAAGTATTATTGACGTTCGTTGTTACAGTGTTGTTTTAGCGCGAGTATTGAGATTAAGTGTATCGCAGAGTTATATTCGGAAAGAATAAACCAGTTTTATTAAGTAAAGACTTGTGTCGTTAAAATTTCGTCGGAACGAAGTTACTGAAAAAAATAAATTAACAAACGGAGACGTAACAATATCATTGTTGTCTTTCTCTTGCTCAGATAAAGCTCTACAGAAATACTTCCTGAAAGCTTCTCAATCTTACAGCTGTCTTAATAAAATTTATGTGGTATAACAAGGCGCTTTGTAATGGGAAAATTATACTTCTTACTAGACAAGACAAGAAACAACCATTACTAACATCATAATAATGATCTGGTATCGAAACCTGATTTTTAGCATTATAAGCTTATTGACTTACCTATTAGCTGTTACTGAGCTATTCAAAACTACAAGCCCTCCCCTTCAAGATACACGTATAAGACTTCTTACTAACTTTTTAGGCTTTTTTGTTTACTATTAATATGATCACTATACTACGTTATAATTAGGCAATTCGTAGGTTGATTTAATACCACCCAACTAAACTGAACGAAGACTGTTACAGACTAACATTTATTATATACTCGGAGGTTAAATGTCTACTCTTATCATCCAGCTATTTGGATGCCAAGTCTAATGTATTGAACCAATAGTCCTCTTCCAGCTTATCTAGATATTCATTTGTTTGTGATAATGTAAATAAATTAATGAAAGCCACTGTATTAACTCTAAAATTAATACAGAATTTGAGCATGCATTCCTTCTTCCTGACAGTCACTACTGGAAACAACAAAGCAGTCTCTCATGGCTGTATGATTCTATGTTTTAACTCATCACTGTGTTCAGCACTATCAACTTTCCTACTGCTCCAGGGAAGCCTGCTCAGTAGTTGTTTAATTAGACATGTGTATCTATGTGATGTTATGTGACCGTTGTTTGACTCAATTGGGCATCCAATCCATAAATGCATTGGAATATTCCGCTAACAAATTACTGCAAACACCCAACTAGCAATATCAAACGTGTTTGTATCTGTGCATTTACTTTCAGACATGGTAGCATGGACTTAGCACTAATGTTAGCATTTATTACTTGTCAGGGTTTTTGTATATGGGCTAGGATTCTTCTACAGTAGGTGTCTGTGACTTGTTGGCGATAAATTTGAACAATAAACGGACAGCACACAATCCATTTGTTTTAAAATAATATATTCAGAACATGTCAAGCGTGTATACAAAATTCTTTACACTATAGGATATCACAGTTTTATCTAAAACTGTAAATAATTCTCTTTTCTTGTAAAAAGTCCACACAAACTGATTCAATTACTTTAGAATCCAATTGACAAGACAAATTATTTTTCTATATTCTTATCACAATAATATCAGTGAATAATTCACTTATGTTACCTCGTGGGATACCACAATTTAAATAATTGTCTCATTTTCGTCAAAGTCCATACAGGGTGGTTCGGTTACTTTAGAACCCAACTGACAAGACAAATTATTTTTCCTATCTCTGTTATTACAATACAGCTGTGAAACACACTATAGAAATAAACCGTTAAGGCTAATCACTCAACACGCCGACTAACTGCACGTTTTCTTCCATTAACTAAATTTTTTCTGACTGAATTTTATTTGACTTGTGTTCGCTTGGTCACCTATATACCTTGCCCAACTGAGGCCTGGAACTTTCTACAAACTAGATGTAACATTACTCACATAACAAGAAAGATGACGTCAACAATACTACAACAATTGAACTATACACACAATGTATAACTCTTACCGAGTTAAGCAACGAAGTCTGTTATATCGCCTTTAAAATAATTATCTTTTAACACTCTTGTTATTAAAACTAAATATTCATTAAATATTAAATCACTAAATAATATCTATTAAGCTAAATAGTCTTGTATATCCAACATTACTCCTACTTTGCTTACCATGCCAATGACCATCCTAGCACGCAGTTGGAAAAGCAATTGTCCATAATTGCAGAATAACACCAGGACTTGACCCCTTACCTCTTTGACATATAACTGCTCAAAACAATGCTCTTTGCTTTCTGGACAAGAAGCAGCTTATTTCATGCACGGGTTCTATAACCATGTTACTCATCATCAACACATAAAACTTCACCATATTTACTTTTTAATAGTGATTTTTTCAATAATTTTTAGTTTGTAGCTAAGCACAAAGCTACACAATGGGTTATCTGTGCCGTGCTTACCGTGAAACCCGGTTTTTAAGGTTGTAAGTCCCCAGACTTACCGTTGTGCCACTGGGGAGGGATTAATTATATAGTGAACTAATTTCAAGACTTGCAGATTAAGACGCTCTTTCTTCAATACAGGAGAACAGCAGATAGCCCAATGTGGCTTTGCTCTATTGTTTGTTTGTTTGTAATTATGCACAAAGCTACACAATGGGCTATCTGTGCTCTGCCCACAACGGGTATCGAAACCCGGATTCTAGCGTTGTAAGTCCGCAGACATACCACTGTGCCACTTGGGGGCGGCTTTGCTCTAACACAGTAATTCAACTTTAACAAAATGCCTAAGATGCTAAATTACTTCTTGGTTTAGAATACTTATTGCCTAAAATTCTTAATACTCACTTTAGCATTTACTGATATGTTGCGAAGCTGATTTGTATATACATGTATATATATATATATATATATGATCCTGATAGAAACATAGTTTGGTTATTAGTGTATTTTTAATTTTTTACTACAGCTTATAGGAAGCATTTTATCATTGTGAGATAAATGTGTTACATAATTTTACATTATTATTATATTTTAGATCACTTTGCTTTATTTATTTTATTTTCTGTTATTCTGGACATCACACAGTTTGTTCCACCAGGGATCACTTGAGTAAAGAAACCTCTTGCTTCGGAAGTTCTTTGAAAATCAAACGTTTCCGAAAAAGCAAAGCAACGTTATTACAATATCAGTGATTTAAAATTGTGGTTAATTTAAATTTTTAAAGTTCAGTTGTTATCTATAATGAGCCTTTTTGAACAGATTAAACTTTTAAACAGTCAGGAGTTGCATAGCAATGTCAATGTTTTGGTGAGGCAAAACATTTTTTTATTATTTATTTTCAGTTTCTCGAGTCTTAACTTTAGCAGTTTAGCGATCAAAGAGTTCAACTCTTAACATTTTAACTTAAACTTAAAATTCTGTGTAGTGAATGACAACAAACAGTGCGAGGTAGTACCAGGTATTGAGAACAGTGCTTGCATACTATCGTTAGTAATAATAGTGGGACCAAATGGTACTTTTTTAATATCAGAAGTACTCAAGTAGTTTGGATATAAAACTGTCAAAAAGAGAAACAGAATTCTTGAACTTGTAGTTGTAGTGAAATCCATGCAAGCCTTTAGTTTAGTATTAATAACATTAAGAGTAACACATATAGCAAGACTACTGCACTAATAATAGTATTGCTATTTTATTTATTAATTATTTGAATTTTTGATCATTTGGAAATATACTGAACACTTTCAACCTAACCCGTTTTTAGCGTTTAGAATTAAGAGTTTCTTTTGACCGTCTATTCTAATCAATCATTCAAGATCGTTGGCCATTGTTTTTTGGCTGTATAACATCTTAAGAATGTCATTTTGTCTAATGCTGTAAAATAGTAGTAGAAAACTATAATATACTATTTGGACTCTCAAAAATACAGGTTTTCCAAATTTATTATCCCTTACATATGAAGTACTGCAAATGAAAGCCTAGACTCATAAACATTTGGTGCATTGTGTGCTGCTTTTATAACAGATAGCCATTAACTAACTAAAGAATATTTACTGTTGTATGTTTTGTTGTTACATGCAAAGCAGCACAATGGGCTATCTGTGCTGTGCCAACCATGGGTATCAAAACCTGATGTTTAATGCTATGAGCCCCCAAACTTACAGAGGAACCATTGGGGGGGGGGCTACTGTTGTTTATCTGATAAATTTAACCAAATTTCTAGAATAAATATGTAAAGGAAACCTAAAATCAGTTTACTAAATAAAATAAGAAGTTTAAAAAATCTTGTACCCAAGTTTTTTAGTATTATATTTACAACAAACTATAATACATTTTTTTAGTTCATTTCTTCTTCATTAAAATCTATGAGAAATGTCAACAAATTATATGACTGAAGACAATGCTGCTTTACTGATAAGAGTTGCTGGCCTTGTGGTGTAGTAGAAGCTGTAACATTTAACTTTTTTTAAACTTGAGAGAGTTTAAAAAGAACCTGGATGAGTATTTATTGATCAGAGTTGGATATACAAAAAGTGGTTTTATATGTAAATTGGAATATAGGGTAGTAGAAAATGGGATAACTTAAATGAGTAAAACACATTTTTCTTTCGATATTGTCTATCTAAATTATCTACACAAGTAAAAAATTAACACGGAGAGTTGATGGGGCCTTCTTCACCATAATTTTAAGTATCTATGGTAAAAAGTAATTCGAACTTTAAAAGAAAAATAATGCTATTGTAAGATGTATCTGAAAAACACTCTTTAGAAATATAGATCATCATACTACTACTAGTGATATTCTAAGGCCTTTTAAACATTCAAGACAGACATACAATGTAATAATTAATTATACTCACTGGAAGAAATGTGTGCTCCAAGGTTGGCAGACTATTACTCATTTTATATGCAAAACTATACCTCAAGAATGACCTTTCTAAATATGGCACAGACCTCTCCCCTTCCCTGACTTACATACACATCACAAAAGAACGACACACCTCGGTCTTAGAGCATATACAAGGTACCCATAATGTATAATAACTATTATAAAATGAAAATGTACTTTGGCAATTTAATTTTGATATTTTATAAAAGATATTTTTTTGAATTTGTCAAGTTACAGTGGCAGAAATTCAAATAAAAAAATAGTGGAGGAAGTATAACCAACATACACCATAATGTGACTTTTTGCCGAAATCTGTTTAAGTGAAAAGGTTGTAGTGACATGGCCTAATGGCTCAAGGGCTTCTTCAACGGGAACATAATTGTGAACAATGTAATGAGCCTTGCAAGTTGATAAGTCAAAAATTAACATGGAGAGTTGGGGCCTTCTACTTCACCATAACAGTATTTAATGTGGTTTTGAAGTTACATTTAGCTTGAACTTACCCAACCAGCTTCTTGTAAGAGACAGTATTGAGGTACATAAGATAATGTTTTTTTTTATGCTTTTTATAATTATCTATCTGTAAATGTTAAAGCATTGGACTTCTCTAGTTTGTGGTTTAATGTGTGTGATCACAAACGATTAATGGCGATTTGCTGTTGTAGTTTTGTTGTATTTTATAAATAACAATGTTTTATTTTTGTAATGTGATAAAACTAAATACTGTTTAGTCTCACAATTAAATTTTACTTTACGGTCTTGTTTATTTAGATTTGGAAATTTTTGACTTTTAAGCAATTGTATTTATATTTTTCGAGTGAAATGTTATATGAAGTATGTTTTGTAAATATTTCCAAACAAGACCATATTTGTTTATTTCACAAATGCTACTTACACTCTAAACAATTAATTTATTTTCTTTTTTTCAACATTGAAATTTTAGTTTTTTGTCATTGTTTATGCAGGCAAGTCTGGTACTGACCATGAGTGACCAGTCACCTGAAATGTTGCTACCTACAATGAAGTATCAAATATTAGTTTACTATGGAGAGTCCCTGTATCACACAAAAAATTACAGAAAAGCAGAAGTAAGTACTACAGAGACTGATTAGGTTGATATCATTGTACTAACAGAGACCTGATTAGGTTGATATCATTGTACTAACAGAGACCTGATCAGGTTGATATCATTGTACTAACAGAGACTGATCAGGTTGATATCATTGTACTAACAGAGACCTGATTAGGTTGATATCATTGTACTAACAGAGACCTGATTAGGTTGATATCATTGTACTAACAGAGACCTGATTGGGTTGATATCATTGTACTAACAGAGACCTGATTAGGTTGATATAATTGTACTAACAGAGACCTGATTAGGTTGATATCATTGTACTAACAGAGACTTGATTAGGTTGATATCATTGTACTAACAGAGACCTGATCAGGTTGATATCATTGTACTGACAGAGACCTGATTAGGTTGATATCATTGTACTAACAGAGACCTGATTAGGATATTGTACTAACAGAGACCTGATTAGGTTGATATCATTGTAATAACAGAGACCTGATCAGGTTGATATTATTGTACTAACAGAGACCTGATCAGGTTGATTTCATTATACTAACAGAGACCTGATTAGGTTGATATCATTGTACTAACAGAGACATGATCAGGTTGATATTATTATACTAACAGAGACCTGATTAGGTTGATATCATTATACTAACAGAGACCTGATTAGGTTGATATCATTGTACTAACAGAGACCTGATTAGGTTGATATCATTGTACTAACAGAGACCTGATTAGGTTGATATCATTGTACTAACAGAGACCTGATTAGGTTGATATCATGAAGTACCTTGGGTCTTTGTGTATTATGTGCTTTAGTTGTTATTTTAATTGATTATTATTGATTCAAATCAAACAGATCTAAAAATCAGAAGTACTGTAATGTTGATCTTTATTATGTTAATTAGAACCTCCTGTCACAAAGTTTCAGTCATAAAAAACCTATATTAATCGTAGGTTTTGTCTTATCATTTTTTTTAATTATCACATAATAGTGAATTTTGAAGCACTGCATTGGATATGACTTATGTGGTACTCTGTATCATTTGTTCTTTATAAATCAATACATTGAAGATGTAATGTTTTTAACTTATTATTTTACATACACTGTTATTTCATGTTCAATTTAAAAAAAAAAAAATATTTCACATCAGCTAGAAATATATTTATGTTGTGACAGCAATCTTTTATAATATTTAAAATTAAAAGATGAAGAAAATATATGTTTTAGAGCTAAATGGAACTTTGTATTGTCTAAAATACTAGCAATGATAGAGTATTAGGATGTGTATATTTAAAAAGATTATGCAAACAAGAACTCAATACTGTGAGGTTTCTTACAATGAACTTAGAGCTTATAGGTTACAATCAGTCCTGAGCTTGTCATGGTAGGATATTTGTAAAGTTCTGTTGATAAATATAACAGACAAAAAGTTATATCTTGCAATTTAATTTCTTCCAGTCAGTGTTAAGAAAATCTCTTCAGTTAAAAAAGTCTATGTCGAAAGCCAAAGGAAAATCACAGGGTCTTTCACCAGTGGTAAGTTTAGTTGTGATGAAAGTTTTTTAATAATTAGAAACTGTTTATCTTAATTTTATGCTGAACCTTCCAGAAGAAAAACATTTTGAAATTTTTATAAACTAAAAAAGAAATGTTTGGTTTAAATAATGCCTTAATATACATATGTAGAATGTACATCAGAAAAATGTTTATTATTAGGAGAATGTAACATTACTGGAAAGATGGTTTATGTGTTTAAGTTCTGCATCAGTCTGGTTATTCGCTTTGTAAACCAACGAATGTTAGATTTGTAAAATCTTAATGTATAAATATGGTATTTAAATGTATTAATTAGCATTACTGATGATAGTTTTTGTAAGAGGTATGATACAAAAATTCTGTATACTCAGGTTTAATTGTGTACAAGACTGCATATGTTCTCATTTGTTAAGAAATGTAGAGAGTTTATCGAGTAATTACATCTTGGGGATCTTAAAGTAGTTAGGCTTTGGCCTCTCACAATACAGACCATATGCTTTATGACTTCATATGTAGAGGTAGAAGTATCTTTGCCTGAATGTAATGCACACTTTTATTTCTCCAAATACCTCCCAAAAAATTGACTGCCCATTATATTTGTGCAAGTTTAATTTTATTAAGTATCTTATTAGAAGCTATCACCGAAAATCGTTAAAGTGTCATTAAAGGTTTCAAAAAATGTGGGATATCCAATGCAATGGATAGGACCGATGATGACATGCTGTGGGAATCAGAAGTGGATGAAGCAAATCCGATGGTAGCGACAGTTCTAACGATGATGAAGATTTATGTGAAGATGAATGATTAGCCTAGTGTATTACCACATATAAACTTTTCAATAAATTTAGTAAAATTGTAATGAAAGAAACATTTCAATAAGATGTTTCCAAAAATGGTTGATACGTTGATAGTTGTCTACTGTACTTAGAAATTATCCAATACATTTTGTACAACTGATCTGAAAAAAAAAACAAAAACAAATTTTCTTCAATATAACATTTCGGAATTGGGTGTGCATTATATTCAGGCAAATATGGTATTCTTTGTTCACTTTTACTCTAGAAATATCATACTTAAAGGACAGTTCAAGGGTAGTGTCACTATGATTTACTTACTCATATTTAATCTTTTCTCTTGAAAATGAAATACTTTAAGATCAAGAGTTCACAATCACAAGAAGTAATGAATAGAGTATTACTACTGTTATGCTTTTATTTTCACAGATATGCTTTACTGTGCACCGGTACTGTAAAATATGCGTCATCTGTAACACTTCTTTTGAAAAGTAACAATGGGTTATTTACTATGTGTTGAGCATGAGTGAGTGCTGTTTTCCTGCATATTGAAAATAGTTTACCCAATTTAAATACATCTGGCACTGAAATACAAGAGAAATGCAAACATTTGTCATCATATATGCACTGCCGCATGGTATTTATTTGCCTCTATTTTCTGGCCTAAGCTGGCACACTCTTCACTTGCATGTCTAGCCTTAACTGGTGATTATTTGTAGGGCTTTATTTATTTTATTTTTGTTGTTAGGGGGGTGGTGTAGTAATGGGTGAATCAAGATCACCAATCCTCTATGTGAATTTTCTTTCCTTTTTACAGGAAAACAAAAAGGCAGCTTCATAGGTCAGAGATAGAAATGCAAGTTTCTTTTGATACACTCTGAAAATACTCTTGTGGGAGTTATATGTAGAACAAAGATCAAGATTTTCTTAGATCAAATATACACATTTAGAAGAAATGCTGTTTCTCATCGTGATACAGTTTTTATTTTGGTGTTATTAGTTTTTTGCATCTTTTTTACAGGAAATGACTCCCGAGATTGATGTGAAATATCAAATATATCTTTGCCATTTTCAGTTGAATCAGTTCAATGAAGCCATCAGCATAGTAAGTATAGTTTGTTTTGGTGAGAAGAAATTTTAACCTTATGACTATAGGTTGGGTGCAATACACCCGGCCCATAACCACCCATGAAAGTAATTATACTATGATTTTTGATAATGTATGTGTATCTTCATAACTCTTCACACGTTATTGGTAAACATTACAAGGCTTTTGTACACAAAATATCAAGTTTTAAAATTGAGTATTAAGATTTTTTAATTAAAGATTTTCTCGTGAAATTTTTTCTTTCAGAATGATTACTATCCAACATGCAAAGTAATTTTGGTTTTAAGATTATAAATACTTTTCTTTGTCTGAAAATTATCAAGTTTCATTTGTGTAATTTCTTTATCCTTCTAGATAATCATCAAGTGTTTTGTTTTTAATAAAACTTTATATTTTATCTGTTATTTTATCAACCTCAACTCTACACGGTGTCAGTTGATTTGACCGACCCCGTAACCATCATAAAAATTATGAAATAAATCTAAATCACCCTTTCTTTTGTTCTAAAATAACAAATTGTAACAGGAAACCACAAATGTTTATACCAAATAGCTTAAATCTCGTAACAGTATACATCTATTTATATTTATAATTTTTTTGTTTTATTGACCTTTGAACTGTGTCTGACTAGAAACACCCTGATGCAAATTGAAAATTACACAGTGCACGTGTAGCTCACGTTACTGTATCGAATAGTGTAATGCGTAAACTGCTCACTAGCATACCCCATGAAGATTTTTATTATTTTTCTTTGATTATCTTACCTAATAAGTTTTTATTTTGTCATTTTATTTATTTTTATAATAATAACTAGAGAAAACAAATGAAAAATAAATAATATTGTAATTAAATATCAAACACTTTTCATTATTATTTGTTATTTTCTTTACTGTAACATTATTCTCCAGGTTGTAGATAAGTAATCAAAGTATAATGAAAATATAGGTTGCAAAGTGCAAAATGTATAGTATTGTTAGTATTGATCGCAAAGTTTCAGAGAACTTGTGATCAGAGTTTATACTTCCTACCATTTCATATTTATTTTTTCTAGTAATTTTATTGTTAGGAGCTGACTTAAAAACTAGACGAAACAAAATAAATAGTACTGTCTGTCCTTTTCAGTAGGGATCACGAAGCTGCAAAGTAAATCTCTTGAGAGTTTCGTTTAATCTTTTCATATCTATTTTCTATGTTTGTTCTACTGTTAGCGGCTGAAGCAGAAACCTGCTGAATATGAAACTGAATCGCTGCACCTTACTTAGTTTGACACCATCAATATCAAATAAGTTCATGTGGCACAATTCTCAGAACTTTCCCTGCTTTGAAAACACAGTGGGATAGGATTTATCAACTTGTTGCCAGCATAATGGTTACATCATCAATTGTTTAAAGTATCATAAAATGTTTATGTTATTACTTTGTAGAAAGTCCAGGCCAATCCAATAAGTCAATAAGTGAACGTTTCTTACAGAGTCTATTTGAATCCTAGCTCCGAGAACCCAGTGGGGTAGAAGTTGTTGGCTTGTTTGTAGAACAGTTGTTGCAACAAGGATTGTCTAAAATACTATATAAAAGTGAGAGAAAATATTTATGATATGGCCCTGTACAAAGTTGTATCCAATCCAATAAACTTGTCAAGTATTTGGATGCTAGTTATATTCCTGGGTGGTTGGGATTTAGTGTTGGTATAGGTGTAAAAGTGTGTAAGTGCTTCTGAACATCCTGTTTCCTATATTACCATGCTTACCCAGTAACCAGTAAATGTGTAGTTTCTAGTAATATAATTATGGCTAGTTTTGGTTGGGCTAGTATTCTTGGCTTAGCCGTCTTGCTTTTAACTTTAGAAACAAATTATTTACCAGCAAACTGCAAGTTCAACCGGGTGTATACGAAGTATTACCTGCAAGTAAGTAATCGTCATTTATAACATGTATATAATTTCTAATCAATATCTTTAGTATGTAGTTGTTGACCAAAATTCAGTGTGGCTGTTTCTGTACTTTAGCATAACATATATACTGTTTCTGAAACCTATGATACCTATCACAGTATATATATATTGTAATATACATGTATTTTTTTTTAGTAAACTGCTGTTCTTAAATCTTCATTTGCTACATCCTACTTTGATGTTTACCAACTATTACCTACAGGTAAGTAAACATTATAATATGCATACACAGAATCTCTGTGTAACAGTTACAGTGTATAGTTGTTATCAAAATCTAGTGTAGCAATTTCTGTATTTTCACGTAACACATACAGCTAGTGAAACCTGTTATACACATACGAGAATGTATATAAATGTAAAGAAAAGGTACACATCACAGAATACATCTTATATAGATATGTAATGATATAAAAAAGAAAAAAAATGTGATGATGTACAATGATATGACTCGTAATGATACGCAATAGAAATTGTGTGTAATAAAACCTTATATTTTTTCTTTTTAGAAATGGAATCTGAACAATTTATAAAGAAAAAAAACAAAACATAAAAAACTGAGGAAGACGAAGAAGGTCCTAACACAAGAGGAAATTGAGTTCCTCCTAAATATTTAATTTTTCTCTGATGAAGGAGGCTTATCAGAGGCATCTGAAGTTGAAGAAGTCGATTTTTCTCTTGCAATGCCTCTCTGAGAAGTTCTTCAAACAAATCAATGGCCTAAAAATACCAAACTAACTGGTGAAATGTCACTAAAAGAAGATGGTTCTAAAGAACCACCACCAAAGAGAGTCAGGACAGGGAGAAGACGTAAGGGCAGAGGTAGAGCTTCTACTGGAGCTGTTCCTTCTGAGAAGGAGTGGCCTCTCTCCTGTAATGATACTTGGATGGAAATCAGTGAAGAACAAAATGATTTATATTTATCAGAGGTGAACCTGTTTCCCAACAGGTTGCCTCTGCTGGAGATTCAGTTGATTTTTTAAACTTTTTTCTCAATAGAAATGATACAATTTTTCGTAAGTGAAACAAATAGGTACACTAGTGATAATGAAACTGTGGTTTAAAAAACAACTGTAGACTGGACTAATGTTAATATTCAAGACATTTTAGCCTACTCTGGTCTCAAGCCTCTTCCTTCTCTTTCTGACTACTGGTCTTCCTATCCTCTTTTTCAAACTCCTGGGTTTACTAATATCTTATCTAGGGACAGGTTTTTTTGCTATTTGTAGATACTTACGTTTCAATAACAATACTAATGCTCTACGTAAAACTGCTCCTAACTATGATAAACTTTTCAAAGTAAGACCTATCATAGACTGTCAGATATAAAAGAATGATTAGTGTAGGTAGTATTAATTAATTTATTTTGTGAGTTAATATTTCATGATTATTTACTTTTGTTTATAATAAGAGAGTTAAAAGCAGACGATTGTTGTAAATTGTGTTTGTAAGTTATTGATATCGAGGCTATGGAGATTTCTAGAACACCTCAGTGAGAGATATAAAAAAGCGATGACCAGACGAGAGACCAGAGTGCAGGAAGAGAGCCAAAAGAAAAGCTGAGTGAAAGAGAGTTTCGATCAGAGAAAGGTTAGAAAACGTGAAGTTAACTGTTGTAGGAGCGAATAGCCTAACAGTTGAGATGTTAAAGTGAGGTTAACAGTTTTCTGACATTTTAGGAGAATAATTTGTCTCCTCAAAGGGTGTTCTAAAGCAACTCAACCTGCCTGTGTTGACTTTGACAAAAAAGCAGACTTTTATTGGAAGTAGGCCTGTATGCGAAAGGCAGACGTTTATTTGAAGTAGGCCTAAGTACGAAAAAGTAGACGGAAATTCAAGATACAACTGCGGTAACTCACTAGGCAGCCTAAGTGAATTATATACCAATACTGTTGTGATAAAAAAGAAGAGAGAGATAAGAAAAGGAATAAGTGAATTATACACAGATAGTGTTTATGATAAAGATAGAGAAAAATAGTTCAGCTTGTCAACTGAATTCTAAAGCAATTGTGAATTGGCCTAAGTGGACTTTTGACAAGAAGAAGAGAACTATGATATACAACGTGTTTCTAATATATGTATCATTTTAAAAACAAGTGGAGTGCATGCTGTTCGTTTATTGTTCAGCTTGTCACCAACAAATCACACATACCTACTGTAGAAGAATCCTTAGCCCAACAATAACATAGTATATATATTTTAACTTACTATATATAATATAAAAAAAGTAAGTTTCCTGACATAGACTTTCTTCTGAAATCCTTTGTTTGCCATTATTCTCCTAACAGGGAAATGTTTATAGATGAGCAAATGTTGGGTACAAAATGTAGAATTGGTTTCCTTCAGTACATGCCCAAGAAACCTGTCAAGTGGGGTACCAAGTTGTGGGTCCTGATAGAAGCTGTGAGTGGATACTGTCTTAAATTTAAAATCTACACAGGCAAAGAGGGACAAATGCCAGCTAGGGGGTCTTGCAAACAACATTGTGATGGAACTGTTGGATAAATACAACAGACTAGGACATAGGATTTTCATGGCCAACTTTTACACTTCCCCTCATTTATTTGATAAAATTATTGGCTGTTGGAACCTGTGCTTGTGTGACATGCAGGAAAGGCAGATTATATTTCCCACAAGAGCTGGCAGCTAGAAACTTATGGGAATCATGTTTTTTAAATGACGAACTTTGACAGCTGTAAAGTGGACTGATGAATGAAACGTTTATGCCATTTCCACTTTTCACTCTAGTACAATGACGAACTTTGGCAAGAAGAGGGAGGGACACTGAGGTTACAAAACCTCTGTTGATTGTGGACTACAACAAGTTCATGGGTGGGGTGGACCTGAATGACCAACACCTAAACTACTATTCTACTGGACGAAAGACGATAAAGTGGTATAAGAAACTGTTTTTTTTTAATTTTGGACTCGACAATTGTAAATGCTTACATGCCGTACAAAATTGAGACCAACCAGTCAACATTGTTCCAGAAGGCCTTCAGAATGGATTTGGTCACTTAGCTTGTTCAGCCTCTTCTTCAAAGTGGACCAGGTCCTTCTGGTATACCACTTTCAAGGACTCTTCAACTCTCAGATTAACTGTTGGAAGGCATTACTCTACACTTTTTGAGAAAGGTGTTAGAAAAAGATGCAGACTCTGCATTACAAACAACAAGATACAAATGAAATGTAAACTCTGTAATGAGTTTCTTTGCATCAAACATTTTGTAGAATATCATACTACTGCTGTTCTTCAAAGAAGCTAAAAATTTCTGTTGTTTATTTTATTTTTGGCTTTTTATTAATGAAATAATTTTGTACAGGTTTTCATTGATCTATACACTTTTGTATATATATAGTAATATTGTTCCTTTTCATGTGTTCTTTTACTTAATTCATACAGTTTGTATGTATATTGTTCTCCACATATGTGATTACTTTTTCTTTGAATGTACAATAATATTTTCTGAAATTTCTCCATTTTATTTATTTTTAATATTGTTTTTTATTTCTATTGAAACGTTTTTATAGAAATTTCCCTTGATCTGTACAATTTTATGTAAAGATGTTTCTTTCCATGTGTTAAGATCAGTTTATGAGTAATAAATTTATTTCATTGACTTTCTCAAATTAGATAAATGAACTTTTCCTGAATTGCCAAGTCTTTAGTTTCATATAATTTGTTTTATTTTACCTCATTGTAAAAATAACAAAAGTTCAATAAACAGTTATACTTGTCTATAATAAAGTACAAATCTCGTATTCTTAGAACTAGTGCACCAGGACTCTGTAAAATACAATAACATATTGGTTACTATACATTACATATGTATATAGTATTATAAATATTATTTTCAAAGAAATACTTAAACGTCAGCTAATTGTTTTCAAACAGAAAACAGAAATACAAAATATTTGGAAAACAGTGATCTCTACTACTTGCAATGCTACAAAGTCCTTGTTTGCACTTGTGAGTCGTACTTGCTAAGCCTTGTCCAAATTCACATGTGGAGATACCAAATATTTGGAAAACAGTGATCTCTACTACT